AAGCATTACAACATATTAGTAATTGTATTAAACAATTAGTAATATCCTTAACATTCAATAGTAAAGAATTTAACAGCATATTACCAATAGCTTTATTATGTTCCCAACAGGCTAAAAATCGACAGTAGGCCTAGCAATGGGTAGACCAACAAGCCGTCGAGTGATGCAACGATACCATTGCATGTATTCGTCGGTCGGATCCATCAATGCAGTACTCAGGTCTTCAGTAACAATGGTATCTCTACGATGTGCCCACATCTCCATGTACAACTGATGAACTATAGAGCAATCCCGACTAGATCTACCTCGACGGTTGATAGCATGCAAGGCCCTGTTGGTATTGCATGGTTGTGGTATGCCTTGAATCAGACCAAACTGTCGAGTAACTCGACCTGAAAAATGCCACTCCACGACATCGAAGCAAATCAATGGGGCTTATGTGCGCCAAATATATTGCCCAATAAGGTAATAATTCGGAAGGCCACCCATTACGTTAGCTTTATACGACTTCCATATCATCTACAATATAAATTGTGAGCACTCATATTCAAATGTAAAAGTATTTTTAAAAAAATTGGACAAAGTTTTCTTTGAAAATTGGACATTTCCAAAAATTTTCAACCTGTATACAACACATCCCACTTAATGGCAGACATATACAAATATAAATAAACATCTCATTATCTCAACATTCACTTACTTCACATGTAAATTCAATGCAATCAACCCAACAAACTAACAAACTTTAACAACAAACATTCGAGTTCGTAAGATATGGTCAAGCTGATAGACTTGATCCTCGCGCATTTTGTCCAACTGGTCTTGATAGTGACGTAGTACATGGGTAGGAGTGTGCTGCTCCAAAAATATTACATCCCATCTATACATTTCAACAAAATTTATAAATATATAATAATACGTAAAATATGTATTAGATTACAATGTATCTTTATTATGCACCTACAACCAAGGGGACTATCATGTTGTCCGTGTGCATTAATAGCGTCATTTGCAAGCCCACATCTACAGTGACTCCATCTACCCCTGCATCTGCCCCATCGTACACCGCAACACCATGGGCGACCTGCTGTCGTGGTAGCACACGCTGTGGAACAATGTGTACCAGATGTTCCCATGCCCACAACTACAAACACAATACATTGATTTTAAATATATACAGTTACAAGAACATAAAAGTAAGCAACTAAGTGAAGAATGCATGTAATTACCTGAATCAGAATAAGTGGATTGTTAATATCATTTGCGTCCCGCTTAGTAGCAAGACACATCTCCTGATATAACCATTCAAGGGCCGCACTGCCCCAACTATAAGTGTCGGCCGCATGTAGGTTTGCGAGAAATGGTAGTAACATAAGCTTCACCTTACTCGATGACTTGTCGCTGAACAAAAACCCCTTAATTAACAAAAGGATGTACGATCAGGTGTAACATGCTACAAAAGCTCGGTTGCATCAATTGGAATTCTGTGGACCAAATGCTCAGCTAATGCACTAAATCGTAGAGTGGACTTATCTATCGCTCCATTTGTTGGTGTGAACCCGAGCAACTCAGTGCACATGACACTCCATTGTTGTACATTGCGGACGGTATCTACACCACATACAGACATCCCATCAATCGGAAGGCCTAGTAATACAGCTATATCTTGAAGTGTGATGGTGGCCTCACCAACTACTAGATGAAATGTGTGTGTCTCGATGCGCCATCGCTATACAAGTGCAGTAATAAGATGCCTGTCCAGCTGAATGTATTTAAGGCGATATGCTCCATAAAATCTAGTTGTGCGTAGATGCTGAATAACCCGATCGTCTGTGATGGTAACTCGATGAAGAGGAGTCTTTGATCATCTACAATGTAACGAGGGTAGCTCAATGCCCTCCTAAATAGCAGTCGTGCGATGGTTAGCATGTGAGGATAATACAGATGCATCATCGAGACCTAGATGTAGATAACGATAATTGTCAATCCGCCATCCATGTCTCGGGGTTTTGGAGTCGAGGTGACGTGTCTAGAAATGGACCTCAAGGGTATTAGGCATGCCAAGGACACATGTCGGGTGGAGAACTCCTCGGAGAACTTTGGGAGCCGAGGACAGGTGTCACATGATGAAGACTTCGAGGTGCATTTAGTGTTGGGGACACGTGTCACTCATAGGGCTCCGAGGGACATTTAATGCCTAGGACACGTGTCACTCACAGGGACTCCGAGGAACCTTTAGTGCCGAGGACACATGTCACTTGCAGACAGAGCCGAGGGTCACTCATGTCGAGGACACATGTCACTCGAGGGAGCCCCCTCATTTTTATTCCTTGGGGTTCGTGCCCATTTAATGTGCCCCTCCTCATCTATCGTGTGCAATCATGACCCATAGCTCTATTAAACAAAGTCCTTGCCCTCCTTCTCCATTTTCGTTAATCTTGCAACTTGAAGAACTTTTCGCCAAAGATCCATCGGAGAGAACACTGTTCAACTGAACACCATAAATTCCTCAGAATTCACTGGAGAAAGGAACCACTAGCCTCTCCTTTGTGTCAGCATCATGCTTATTGGTGAATAACTATTTGCCCTCTTTTCTTCTCTTTTTTGGTGACCATACTCTCTCTACTCTTCCCCATTTCAGTTCTAGCAGTGTCATATCATCCTTCAGTCTTCCTTTTCCTTCCTTGTGTCCTCAGTAGTGATCTTTAGGTATCTTATCCCCGGGAAACACCCTTTTCGCGTTCTCTTTTTCGGTTTAAACCATGTCGAGATGTCGTCTGAGTGAGAACGTCGGGCTAATGAGGCTGAGGAAATACATTGTTAAGGGTCGACAACAAATTACCAATTTTAAGACACACTACTCCATTCCTACAAAAGTAAATGTAGATGACTTTGTTATTGGTTGCCACAGTGCCACTGTCGGCACCGAGGAGGCCATGCCTTTTTATACCAAAGCTATCATGGAATGAGGCATTAGATTTCCCCTTCATTCCCTCATTCTTCGCTTCCTATCCCGATTTTGGTTCTTTTTGAGGCAATGTTGTCTAAATACCTTTAGGATTATCATGGGAGTGGTCGCCTTGACTGAGCGATTACAATTGAACCTCGCCCTAGATGATATCCTCTTCTACTATGCTTTGCTGAGTTTGACGCCTCAACAAATGTTCTATGTCAAGGCTCGGGACCCTACGATGTACCTTGTAACCCATCTTCCAAACTCTAACAAGGGGTACAAAGATGACCTACTCATCTTCAGCAGTCAATGGAAGAGGGGAGTCGGCCCCAAGTATGTTAACTTGTGGTGCCCCAAGCAGTGACGGACTACAAGTAGTCAACTCTTATCTCTCTTTTTTGCTTTTCAATTCTTCGGCGCTTCTATTCCTACCTTTGTCATTGATAATCAATAATAATGTTTCTCTTGCTTAGGGGACTCCGATGCCGACTCTGTTGTTCCCCCGCGCAATCAAGTCAACCTCGGTGACATCAACTTCGTTTGGAGCTACTTAGGGAACAACGGTCTCGGCCAGGCTGCCCACCTCCTTCTCTATTACACTCCAAGATACTAAAATTTCTCCCAAACTCGTCAAATTTTTGACCCATCAAGGTGGTTAGCATTACTCGAGAAAAACTTGGATAAGGACCCCGACAGAGCTACTGAAGTCGAGGTAAAGGCGGCGAAAGACACAGTTGTCGAGGTTGAAGAGATAAGGGGTCCATCCACGTTGAGGAAAATAATTCAGGCAGGGAGGCTTGGCTCGACTTCAACTTTCTTCAAAGCCTCGACGAAGAAGACTTTTTGAAGATAGCGATGTCTAACCTACCTCGCCTTTCTTTAAGTTTGATCAAGGAGAGAACCGCTCTCACTGCCAGAAAGGGCTGTGGATCGGGCTCCAATGTTACTCCTAATCTAGGGCATACTCGCCCTTCTAGGGTTCCAGCCCCCCACCTCCTCCAGCCAACGCCCCGTTTGTGCCGACGCCAACTGGGCACGGAAGGAATCCTAAGTAGGAGGAGAGTAGAGTGAAACAAATGAACGATGGTGGCCGAGGCAATGGCATTTCTACTCTGACATCAACTCCAACACCAACGCTGACACTGACACCCAATGCCCCAGAGTGGTGCAATAGGGCCCGAGATCGTGACAACAGGCCCATCCGGGTGACTAACTTCATCATTGCCTCTACCCACACCTCCTATGTCGTGAGTAAGGCCATCCTCTTTGATACCGATATGTCGGTGCACAGGGTTCGTGGGAGCAATAACCTATTTTGCTCTATTATTCAGACTTCACTCGTGATAAGGCTCTCATACTTGTGAATTTTTCTTTCCTCTTTTTTGCTTTAGTTTTTCGCCGACGTGATCCTTTCTTTTGTTTAAAAGATTGCCCAACAAATATCAGTCATTGCCAAGCCTTTCCATGCTCATCGGAGGCTCCAAGCCAAGTTGGAGAAGGCTAGAGGAGCCCTGACCTCGGCTAAGAAGGAGGTGGTTGTTTGGGATAAGACCCTGTACACTCAGGGAGCTTAGATTGCCAAGCTCTTCAAGGAGAGTCAGACTACCAAGGGAGAAGCTAACAAAGCTAAGGCCTCTCTCATCGACGCTGAGAAGAGGATCACCTAAGTGACGAAGTAGCTGTCGGCAGTCGAGGCGAAGGTGGTCGAGTCGGAGCAAACTTGTGCCACCCTCACCTAGGAGTTGGACAAGTTAAGGGCTGAATTGGAGGTGAACAAGAAGACGGAGCAGGATATTGTCAACTAATGTGCTGATGATATCCTGGTGGCCTTCGAAGAAAATAAGAGGGAGAGCTTCAAGGCCAGATGGGATAAGGCATTTCGAGCTACCGAGGTCCCCGTCGAGTCTCCACTCTTCAAGGATCACGAGTGCACTCCTTTTGAAGAGTTGGTACAAGTTGCAGCTGAAGTCGCGGTTGAAGATGTTGGGATTCCTCTAGCTCCAATCTCGGTTCCAACGATTGAGACCATGGCTCCTTCTGTCTTTAGGGCGATCTTGTTCCTCCTTCCGCCAACGTTGCTCCTACTCCTACCGATGCTACTCCAGTTCCTTCTTCTGTTGGCACTATGCCAGCACCTCAGGGTTACGCTTCGACTGTTCCTGCCGACGGAACGCCTCTTTCTCGCCGAGCCAACTCCTTCTCTACAAGCATCGATGAACTTTTTGGAGACATTGGAGGCAGTATCGGCAGCGAGGTCATTAGGCCTCCTTAGATTAGGTTTTGGCTTTCTTTCCTTGTAATTTCATTTTTTCGTTTGTTTTTGTAGCTTGAGGGATGCAAAGCCCTCCTCTTTTGTAATCAAAAAATGCTTTCTTTTTCAAAATTCTTGCATCTTTTTCTTTTTCTAGATGTAATCCCTTGAGACCGAGGTTACAAGACCCAAAGTCAGGATCTTCCTTGTCACGCCCCGAATTTCCACAAAACTCGAGGAGTGAGTGAAAATGGAAAAGAAAAGTAAATGAAAGGTCACTAGGTTGGATAAATTGGTTTCTCATTCATTTTTCATGTTTTTTCGAAGTTTTTCAAGCCACTTTTTTCCATTTTTAGCCTATTTCTTCCAGATTTCTAAACCCCCACCCTTTTTGACATCCCTCCCACCTATTTAAAAGGTGTTTTACATATTTAACAAGTCTTTTAATTTTTCATAAAATTTTGACATAACCTCTTTTGTTTTCAAGCCTTTTTCCTACCTAATATTCACAATATTTCATATGCATTATTATATCACAACCCACCCTCACTCGGTGGCCACAATCTATGTAAATTAAACAAACATCTATTATTTTCAACACATACATCTAATTGCCCCAATATACACATATGATACTCATTAAATAAAGACATCTCAAATATCAATTGAGTTTACACTCTTACACATAAAATGGTCCAAGACCTTTAATCCACTACTTTTTCAAACTAGAATACAAGTTATTTGGGCTTATGCCCATACATACAAAATATGCCCAATGGCCAAATATACATTCAAGTCTCTTTCCTCTCCTTCCTCTAAGACTTCCTCAAGTCTCAAGTACCGAGAGCTTCATCTGTAATATGATATCCCACGAATGGGTCAGTTCAACTGCTGGTATGACAAAGGCTAATTCTAGGAACAAATTTAAGGCCTGACATGTGCAAGGGTACATTTAAAAAACTACAACTCCACAATCCCTCAATGTTATGCAATGACAATATGCATGACACACCCATGCAACTCTATGCCACCCATGTCTCGCTTCACGGTCCGCCCCCGTCAGCCCGCAAGTACTGTCATTTGCCAAATTTTAGATTTTTCACCACAAGATCTACACCCTTATAATGCATAGCATCAAGTGCTCAACCCACACTATGTTCCAAGGACTCATGTATGCCAAGATGACATGATTTTTCTCAATATAAATTCTATGAAATATTTTATCAAACACCTTATCTACATGAATATGAAGCACCATTCAATGGATTAAACATAGGATCAAGCTTCATATTCCTATGAAACATTCATCAAACACCTTATCTACGTGAATGTGAAGCATCATTCAATGGATTTAAACATATGATCAAGCTTCATATTCATTACTTTCACAATTTCCCAAAGAAACTACAAATACACAAACTATCAACTCATGTAATAAATCATAACTCTCAAACCACAAGAGTTTCTCTACATGAACATAAGTTATAATATAATAATCCAACACATAAGCAATATACACCTTCACCATAGCAACAAATTGTCAAGAAACTCAAAGAATATAAAAGTACTTAAACCACAAATTCTAAGTTTTCAAAGCAACTACCAACTAAATGATTTTCTAACATCAAGTAAACACCTAAATCATTCAATCAACACATAGGAAGACAAGAAAATTTAAATATATTCCCAACTTAGCAAAATATCATACCTAAAATGGTTTTTCTCAAACCAAGAGAGTTGTGTTCACTTTATAGTCGAACCGATCAGTGAGAATGTAGCTCTTGTTGAGAGGAACAACTTCTTAGAATGAAGTTTTGCAAGAATCTTGGTCTAGAAATGAGTTTTGGTGGCTTGAAGTTTGAAGAATCTAGGGTTTTCTTCCTCTTTTGCTCCTTGAACGTGTACTGCCCCTTCTCAGACCAAAAACACTGATATTTTTACATTAAAGGACTGTATTTATAGTGGAGTGCAAATGTGTAAAATGACCCTTTTGCCCTTGATGAATCCGAGACCCCGTTACACTACGACTCGTCCCGAAACGCCTCAAGTTCTTAAAATTATTTTAAATAAAAAATTTTTAAAATATATATTTTTACTAGTGGCCGGGTTTGGCCGGTCCCACCTAGGCCACCCGGGATATATTTTTTGTTCAATTTTTAAAACTAATTTTGTTTAGGCTCAAATTCGTACAGTATGTGTATTTTAACATTCTAAGCATACTTCTCTTCTATGACATACTCAAATTATGCTCCTAAACATGACTTATACCTAAATGATGCATTTGTAATGTCCTACCAATAAATGGTACATGAATAGTGTCCTACCGACAAAACTGAAAAATTTATCCTTACTTTTCAAATATCTACATTCCTCCTCAACCTCGACTTCTTTTATGGGAAAATTTCCAAGTGTTCCCCCTCGGGGGACAAGCCCTATCCTGGAGGCTTTGCCCCTTGGGTCTTTTTGGGGTGTGTCTTTTTCTAAGCCCTCACCCACGGGACCGTGCCTCATCTAGGAGGCTCTGTTCCTTTGTTTCTTTGGAGGCGAGAGTCATAGACTCTGCCTCTAGGGCCATGCCTCTTCCATGACAGCACACCTAGCAAAAATAAGCATTTGATTCTAAAAAATAGTACTTTTTTCAAATTCATTACATTCCAATGCCGAAGTACAATATTTCCTTTCATATCCTCTAACTTGTACGACCCGGAGCCTCTCATTGACGTGACTTTGTATGGTCCCTTCCAATTAGGTCCCATCTTTCTATCGATCGGGTCACAAGTGTTCCCGACTACTCTCCTGACTAGTTACCTACCTAGAATCTTCGGGATTTTACTTTCTTATTGAAGATTTTGGAGACCCTTTCTTGGTATTTTTCCAATTGCAAATCAGCTTTCTCCCTCCTCTCCTCTGCAAGGTCCAAGTCCAGGTTGAGTTGGTGGTCATTCTTTCCAGTGTCAAAAGCTTGCGTTCTTATAGTAGGGATACCTACGCCTAATGGGATAACTGTCTCTACTCCATATGCAAGGGCATAAGGTGTTTCGCTCGTTGAGGTTCACAAAGTTGTCCAATAAGCCTAAAGGACGTTTAGAAGCTCATCCACCCATTTTCACTTAGCTTTCTCCAACTTCTTCTATATTCCACCTACAATAGTTTTGTTTGAAGATTCTGTCTATCCGTTGGCCTGAGGATACGAGGGTATGGAGTAATAATTCTGGATTCTGAGGTGCTCACAAAAATATTTGAAGGGTCCACTTTTAAATTGATTTTTGTTGTCTGATACAAGTGCGGGGTGGATCCCAAACCTTGTCACAATGTTCCTCCATACAAACTTTTTTGGTGTCCGTATCCCTGATCTAAGTCAGTGGCTCTTCCTCGACCCACTTTGTAAAGTAATCGATCCCAACTATCAAGAATTTCTTATCTCTAGGAGCGGGCCCAACTAAGGACTAGTTAGTAGGTGCAAGTCTCCTACTGACTGCCTGATGGCGGGAGTTAACCTTTGACATTGATTATATTTTCGGATGTAAGCTTGTGCACCTCCTTGCATCTGCAGTTACTAATATCCCTGCGACATGATGCAATGAGCCATTGATCGTCCACCTGAGTGCCCCCTACATATGCCTTCGTGCACTTCATACATAAGGGTCTCAACTTTATCCTCACGGACACAAAGCAAGTAGGGTCTGGAGAATGAATTTCAGTACAACTCTTGATCTGGAGAGGCCCAAAACCTCGGGGCCCTTAACTTTATCCTCCTAGCTTCCTTAGGACATTTAGGGAATTCCCCGGAGACAAGGAGCTTGAGTAGCGGATCAATCCAACTGGGGGACTCCTCCCCTTCTAGGATGGCTGCCACTCCGGGGATGTCGTCTACACTAGAGTTGGAAAGAAACTCCATAGTAATCCTCTGTGTCATGTCGGAGTCCAATGCCAAGGCCAAGCTTGCCAAGGCGTGGGCGTGGGCTTTCTTATATTTAGGGACTTGCTTGACTTCCACCTTCTTGAACTTGTGGAGCAAGGTCATGGCCTCGTGGTGATAGACTTTCATTCTTGGATTCCTTGCTTCGAATTCCCCATTATTCTAGTTAACCATCAGTAAGGAATCACAATGGAATGTTAGTTCTGCAGTTCTCGATATGTCAGCAAGTTTGAGTCTAGAAATAAGGGCTTTATACTCTACTTCATTATTGGATGCCTTGAAGCCTAACTATACGGCTTGCTCTATGACCAATCCATCCGGGAAGACTAATAGTACCCCGATTCTAAAACCCTTGTTGTTGGAGGATCCGTCCACACAAAGTCTCCAGGAGTGCACTTGGTTGACTGCGGAGGGCACCATCTCAGGGGGAGGTGGCTCCCCCTTGGTGAATTCAACTATGAAATTTGCTAGCACTTGACCCTTTATTATCGTGTGAGGTTTGTATTGAATATCGCATTGTTCTAACTCCACGCCCCATTTTGCTATCCTCCCAGAAAGGTCCGCCTTCCTTAGGATTACCTTCAAAGGTTGATCCGTTAGGACGGTAATGGGGTGCACTTGAAAGTAATGCCTCAACTTCTTTTCGGTTGTGACTAGCGCCAAGACAAGCTTTCCAAAGGCAAGTACCTTGTCTCCGTGTCCAATAGAGCTTTACTCACATAATACACTGGCTTCTATTCATGCTCGTGCTCATGAATCAATACACTGCTCACGAAGAATTCGAAAATGGCCAAATAGAGAAACAACATCTCCCCCCTTTCTAGGACAAACAGGGTAGGGAGTACCCTGAGGTATTCCTTGATTCCTCTGAGCACCTCCTCGCATTCTTCATTCCAAGAATTCTTTTTGAACCTCTTGATTGCCCCAAAGAAAGGCTTGCACTTTTCTGACAACCGACATATAAAACGATTCAAGTCGGCTAACATTCCTATGAGTTTTTGGACATCTCGGACAGTTTGGGGGCTACGTACGACCATGATAGCCTATATCTACTCTGGGTTGGCCTCGACGCCTTGTTGGCTTACTAAGTACCACATGAAGT